TTTTGAGTTACAGTTCATGTGCAGTACCTCCAACAATGCTGATACTGTGATCCTAAGACATAGGGGTCTATTTCCTAAAGCTAGAGAGTGCAAAATCAGGCTCACTTCAGAATAAAATCCCAATCAGCTTTTAACCTCAGCTTGTTCAATTAGGCTTTGGCAATACAACCTGGAAGCTGATTGGTTTATATGCAGAAGTGAGCCTGATTTTGCACTCTCCAGCTTTAGTAAATACACCTCATTGTGTCAATGGAACAGAAGCTAAGATGTGTCCCAGCACATCCAGGACAGTTGACATATATATGCTGATCTCCTGCAGCCACTTCTTGTCTAAATGGACTCCAGTGATGGCTGCATGGTATTTCCCAGGGTGGGTCTTCTGATAGTGACAACAGTGGATCATGCCTCTATATAGTTGTGTTGAAATGTGTAGTCAGAACATTGTCAACCTATAACAGGAAGTATCTGAACAAGAACCTTCATGGCAGGATCACCAGGGAGCAGGTGGGGTCTACCCAGTGTACCTGAGAATCAAATAAACACATGTGGATACTTAAAGAGTAACTTCACTTTTCTGGGAAAACAAAATATCAATGAAAATATTTATATAGCATATACTGCTCCACGAGCCATATTGTAATTGAATGGTGTTAAAAATAACCTTTTCACCCTGCAGCGCTGCAATTTTCTGTACATATTTACATTGCAATATGGCACCCTGGAGGCATTCTGTACAAAGAATGTACAGAACACTCCCGAGTAATTCCATTTCTTGTTTGTGTGATTGGCTCACTGATTTTCTCACAAGTCTGCACTAAGATACAATCAGATTTTAGGCATCCTCTGCAACAAAAATGTCTTCATGAGATACTCTGAAAGGATTAATCTAGTCCAAAGGGATGCAGACCCTGCACATTTCCTCATTAGAACTCTGCAAGTGTAGAAGCAGGTAGAAATTTGCAACAAAGTTTGATAAAATCCTTGCAATGTACATAGATCACCCAGAGGGGAATGTTTTTTTTTCTCAACAAAAGTGGAGTTACTCTTTAAACTTTGGTATATTGTAGAAATTGAATGTTCACAGGAATAAGGCAATTTCTAGCAATGCCACTAAGTGTAATGCAGGTCATCCACTTCTACAGGCAGAATCAGGGGCGGACTGGCAACTCATGGGGCCCCCGGGCAATAGGGGATCATGGGGCCCCTGTGTCCTTGCCCATACTCAAAAAAGCCTATGAAAAAGGTACCAGGGGCATCTCATGGGGCCCCCTACTGACCCCGGGCCCTCGAGCAGCGCCCGAGTTTCCAAATGGTCAGTCCGCCCCTGGGAAGAATGCATTATTTATACACAAGCCACTTTCCAGCAGTAATATATCAAGCACCCAAAGTGGTTGTAAACCCTTACATATAAACAGGGAAGTGACTGGCTTCAGATGATACACAAAGATGAAAGAAATCCTCCTACATAAGTTGTACCTGTTTATCTGCAGTACTCTCTTTGCATCCATTCAAAGTCCAGATTTTGTAAAGCCTGTCTGAGCTTTCAGAAAGCAGAGAGCTGAAGTTACATTCTGCAGAGCTCAGTGAGGAGAGCTGATTGGAGGGAAGAGACACTCCCTCCAGAGCTCACAGGAACAGCATTGAAGCTGTCAATCTGCTGGAGGTCCCTCCCCTGTCACCATCTTTCTCTTGGTGTCAGGAAAACTTGTCAGAAGTGACTCAAAATGATAGCAGAGGAAGGAAGCAGCAAACAAAAATTACTCTGGATTGAGACAAGTACACAGTACAGAGGGATATGTTTATTCATATTTCATGTCTGAGGTTTACAACCACATTAAATAGCACAGAATGCCAGAGGAGCACTTCCCTAGCAGGGGCGCTATGCTATTGCTTAGGTACACTGCGATTCCATCATGTCCCTGCAGCTATTTTGCTGAAATTGGGAGACGAATACAGAAATGTAACAAAGGGAACAAAAAATAATAACTGCCCTTTTTTTACCTGCATTTTGTTGTTGCAGGAGCCTGTAAAGCATTTCACCAGAGATCAGAGGATTGCTGGTGCCATGCAAGTCTCCTGCAGACCTGTCAGTATATCTGCTTGCCTGTACGAGATGTATGGGCAAGCAGATATAATGACAGGAAGAATCAATGAATTACCACAACGCTCCACAGTGCTGTGGTAGTTCACTGAGAACTACAAACCAACAACCCCAAAGGCTGTCAGGACTTGTAGTTCATTCACAGAACTTTGTCAATGAATGATGTGGCCTCATGGTTGTGCTGTTTTTTAAAGGTGACAGCTAGTACAGGGAACTTCTCCCTATACTGCTGTCACAGGGAGGGGGTTGGGCAGTGGCTGCAGCATTGGGAACATGAATTGAATAAATTCACCAGAGCGATATGCTGGTCAGATCATAAACCAGCTAAAACGCATGTTGCTCTGGGAGTGACGCTCTGCAGTGCCGTAATCTTGCTATCTCAGACTTCTTCAGATGATAATATCTCTGTCACTCCAGAGGAAAAAAAAAGGGGAACTTCCATAGCGTAAAACCATCAATTGATTTATTAGGTAAAAACAGGTAAACTCACATTTACAGGTTTCGGCAGACACAAGTTTACAAGCATAATCCTGTGTTGAATTGTCTCCGGCCCCGGACGCGAGATCAACCCCCATGCGTGTCGACGTCACCTCCAAAGCCCCGCCCTACGTGTTTCGTCACTTGATGTCCTCTGGGAGCAGAAGGATGGTTTTACGCTATGGAAGTTGATGCTTTTACGCTATGGAAGTTGATGCTTTTACGCTATGGAAGTTCCCTTCTTTTTTTCCTCTTGAGTGACTGAAAGATATTATCATCTGGAGAAATCTGAGATAGCAAGATTACGTCATTACAGAGCGTTACTCCCAGAGCAACATGCGTTTTAGCATTGGAAACATGCTCCACCCTAAAAACAGGTGAAGCATGTAACACGTTCCTAAAGGTGAACTGATCGTTTAAAGCGGAGTTCCAGTCATTTTTGTGTTTATTAAAAGTCAGCAGCTACAAAAACCGTAGTTACTGACTTTTAATAAACACACACTTACTGTCAGGGCAGGAGCCGAGGAACGGACAGGCAGGCCTAACAATGTAACGCACTGGCTGACGACAACCACCACCCACAGACCGAAGTCCCTCAGGGCGCGGAGTCTAAGTCCCAGGCTGCCCTTCACCAGGGCCCCTGATGGTGGGGATGGACTTGGCGCAGCCAGGAACCAGGTCGCGGCCCCCGAGACACCTCAGCTGCGGTAATGGCCGCCGCCAATGGCGTGTAGCTGGTGGAAGAAACAAAAGAGTAGTCAGACAGGCCAGGGTCAACAACAACAGGACAAAACAGTACAGGACAGCAGACGAGAATCACAGGTCACGAGCCGGGTTCAGCAACAGAGGGTCAGATCAAAGGAGAATACAAAGAATAGTCAAGTCACAAGCCGAATCAGAATACCAGGAGAGTCACAAGAGCCAGAACAGAGTAATAGTAACACCAAGACACAAGACACAAGTGCAAAGAGCATGTGCGGGCCACAGGCTTATATGTCATCAGCCACGCCCCTCTGGGGGATGGACCACAGAAACCTGAAGGCATAAAAGGATTTCCATCATGCACAGCAGAATCCAAGACAGCACATGGAGTAACATAACCTCAGGGAAAAGGTAGGACCTTGACAGTTACCTATCCCAGAGTCCAGCAATGTTCTCATCTGTGCCGTCCCTTCTCCCCTCCATGGCGCCGGCATGTCAACTGTGAGCACCAGGCTGTGACAGCTTGCGGCTTCACAGCCTGGTGCCCACTGCGCATGCGTGAGTCGCGTGACTCCTACTAATTGGTCCAGCAGTCTCATGGGATCTGTGAAAAATCCCAGGAGACTGTGGGAGGGAGGAGGGGGCTGAACTTCCAGCTCACTTCTCCTCGGTGAACTGAGCCGGACATGGGAGTGGGTAACCTGTCAAAAAGAGGTATCCGCTCCCCCCCAAAAGGTGCCAAATATCTTAGATTGTAAGCTCCAAGGAGCAGGGCCCTCCCAGGGGCGGACTGACAACTCATAGGGCCCCCGGGCAATAGGGGGTCATGGGGCCACTGTGTCCTTGCCGAAACTCAAAAAAGCCTATGAAAAAGGTACCAGAGGCATCTCATGGGGCCCCCTACTAACCCCGGGCCCTCGGACAGTGCCCGAGTTTCCAAATGGTCAGTCCGCCCCTGGGCCCTCCTAACCCTCTTGTACTGAACTGTATTGTTGCTGTATTGTCTCCCATTATATTGTAAAGCGCTGAGCAAACTGTTGGTGCTATATAAATCCTGTATTATAATAAGAATAAATATGGCAGTGGGAGGGGGGGAGGAGGCAAATAAATGGAGCTTCCACTTTAAGCCCCAGCTGCCAAGAGGCAGCATATATGTATTCAGCCAGCACCAAAGGGTTAATAAAATAAGTTGTCCTCCCCAAGATGGCTGCCCGGAGCCCATAGCAGGGGACAGTTAGTTCTCAGTAGTTTCCTGCCAACTTGAAGAAAATGTCACAGTGCCACCTTCAGGTTGGTGGATGTACAGCAGCCCACACCTACCCACAAGGGATTGTTTTTTCAAAGGTAGAAAGTTTTTAATTAGATATAAATTTTCAGTACATGCCTACAACCAATCGGCTTCCAGCATAGTCACCTATCTGTATATCGTCATTATGATAGTACACATATTATGGTCTAAGGTAAAAAAAAAGGATAGGAGTTCAATACATGTATTGATAAATGCACATACTGAAATGTATGAATAGCTGACAATTTACACACCGACTGGAGCTTTATTTGGCTATAGAACACTCTTACCCCTCAACTACATCCTAGCAGCAGCAGTAGGCATGCGCAGTACACGGATTCCCTCAGCCTGAGCCTTGTCCCGCACATGCGCAGTACGGAGGCAGCGGGAGCGCGCACGCGCAGCCAGCTGTCAGTCTGCCCCCCTTCCCCCGGCGATGTCAAGCTGTCGCCTGTCAGGCCGCCGCGCAGGCGCAGAGCCGATCTGTCAGTCTTCCTCGAAGTCACGCACGCGCACTGGCCTGTTTGTTTATTATTAGTGCGCGGAGGGAAGATGGCGGCGTCCTCCCTGGAACAGAAACTCTCTCGTCTGGAGGCCAAGCTGAAGCAGGAGAACCGGGAGGCCAGGAGGAGGATCGAGCTGGAGATCAGCCCGCAGCGTGCACGGCCTAGTAAGGACGACAGAGGGGAGGGGGAAGGAGAGCGGGGAGTGTGGAGGGCCCTGTGTGGGGGAGGGGGGCTGGAATGCTAGGGGCCCCTACAGGTAGGCAGCCTGACATCTGTTGGAGCCCTGTGTGGCCTCCAGTGGAAGCCCCATGGCTGGTGAGTGGAGTCAGGAACTTTGTACAGGGACTGGCTGTGTGCTGTATATGGGGGAAGGGTGCTGGACTCAGACATGGGGGCCTAGGTAGGTGGAAGCAGGGATGGGCCCCCTGGGGGGAGGGGGAGACATGTAGTGACATGGAGGAGTGCTGGCCTCAAAGATGGGCACTACAGAGAGAGCCTGGGGGGAGGGGAGGCCAGCACTCTTCATGTCACTACATGTCCTTGCCTCCCCCCAGTGCTCTTTGTGGTGCCCATCCCTGCACTCACCATCCTTCCACCTACCTCCATGTCCTTTATACAGGGACCAGTCCTGATCCCTCCATCTTCCTATGGTCTTGCATGTCCTCACCTCCTCAGGGCTCTTCCTGTAGTGCCCATCACTGAGGACATGTGGTGCCATGAAGGAGTGCTGGCTCAGCGATGGGCACTACAGAAAGAACCTGGGGGAGGTGAGGACATGCAAGACCACAGAAAGACAGAGGGATCAGGATTGGTCCCTTTAGATAGGACATTGTAGAAGTGAGGACTTGGAGATAGGTGGAAGGACAGGGAGAGCAGGGACGGGCACTACACAGAGAGCCTTGGGGAGGGGAGTCCAGCATGCCTCCATTTTATTATTATTATACAGGATTTATATGGCGCCAACAGTTTGCTCAGCACTTTACAATATAACGGGAGACAATACAGTTCAATACAAGAGGGTTAGGAGGGCCTGATCCTGGGAGCTTACAATCTAAGAGGGAGGGGCTAGTGGTACAAAAGGTAATAACTGTGGGGGATGGATTGGTAGGAGGAATAGGAGATTCTGTTATTAGCTGAAGGCAGGATAGGCTTCCCTGAAGAGAGAGGTTTCCATTTCACTACATGTCTTCACCTCCCCCAAGTGCTCTTTGTGTAGTGCCCATCCCTGCACTCCCCCACCCTTCACCTACCTCCATGTCCACAATGTCCTTTGTTAGGAGACCAACGCTGAGCCCTCCGTCTTTCCATGTTCTTGCATTTCCTCACCTCAATAGGGTTTTTTCTGTAGTACCTATCTGTGAGGTCACGTAGTGACACGGAAGAGTGCTGGACTCAAGGATGGGTACTACAGAAAGAGCCTGGGTGAGGGAAGTCCAGCAGTTTTTCATGTCCTCACCTGTTCCCCAGCCTCCCTGTAGTACCCATCCCTGCACTCACCATGTTTCCCCCTACCTCCATGTCCTTGCATCTACAATGTCCTTTCTAAAGCAACCAACCCTGAGTCCTCCATCTTTCCATGTTCTTACATATCATTACCTCCCCAGGGTTCTTTCTGTAGTGCCCATCCTTGAGGACATGTAGTAACATGGAAGAGTGCTGGACTGAAGGATGGGCACTACAGAAAGTGTCGGGGGGGGATGAGGACATGGAAAGATGGCGAGCTTAGGGTTAGTTCCTTTATGAAGGACATTGTGAGAGCGAGGACTTGGAGATAGGTGGGAGAGCAGGGGTGGGCACTGCACAAAGAGCCTGGGGACTATGGACTGGTGGGGGTAAACAGGCTTGTGTCCTCTTACACCCACCTACCTCCAATCTGATCCGGTCTGCTTAAAAGAATCGGAAGAGGAATCTGTCCCCTTCTATCTAGGTGGATTGGATCGGAGGGCATTTGGGTGTAAACGGACAGCAGAGTCCATTTACACCTGACCTCCAATAGAGAAGGGTGGGCTGTGTCTATGTCCGCACTGCATAAACTGAACAGACATGGACTTGTCCACCCGCCTGTTCTGATCAATGGACAGATCCCCTGCTGATCTAATTAGAGCCCAGCCCATGTGAAATGGGCCATATTGACATGAAAGAATGCTGGATTCAAGGGTGGGCACTACAGAAAGAATCCTGGGGAGGCGCGGACATGCTGGAAAATTGAAAGACAGAGGGCACAGGGTTAGTTCCTTTAGAAAAGACATTGTGGAAGGATGGTGAGAGCAGGGATGGGCACTATACAAAGAGCCTGGTTAAGGTGAGGACACGTAGTGACATGAGTGCTGGACTCAAATATGGCCATTACAAGAGGAGCCCTAGGTTGGTGGAAGGATGTGGAGAGCAGGGCTGGGCACTACAGAAAGAGGCTTGGGGGAGGTGAGGGCATGGAAGAGTGCTGGCCTCAAGGATGAGCACTACAGAAGGAGATGTGGGGAAGGTGGGAGTTACAGGAATGTGGTATGATAGTGGACTCAAGTATATTTTGAAAGCACATGGAGGTAGGTGGAAGGATGGTAGACTAGCTTTGTCTTATACAGAAAGGGCTCTGGGGAGGTGAGGACATAGAAGAGTTCAGGCCTCAGGGATGGTCATTGCAGAAGGAGCCTAGAGGGAAGTGAGGGCATGTAGTGTCATGGAAGAGTTCTGGACTCAAGGCTTAGAGAGGTGGGAGATGAACGAACATGGAAAGATGGTGGGATCAGGGTTGGTCCCTTTAGATAAAACATTGTGGAAGCGAGGACATAGAGATAGGTGGAAGGGTGGTGAGAGCAGGGGTGGGCACTACACAAAGAACCTGGGGAAAGATGGGACATGGAAGAGTACTGGACTCAAACATGGCCATTAAGAGGAGCCCTAGGTTGGTGGAACGATAGGAGGGTCAGGGTACAGAAAGAGGCTTGAGGGAGACAAGGACATGGAAGAATGCTGGCCTCAAGGATAGGCACCACAAAGAGAGACTTGGAGGAGATGCAGGAACGTAGAAGGATGGTGGCTCAGATTAGGTCTTTTTAGAAATGACATGGAGGTAGGTGAGAAAATGGTAGTGTTGCCTATATAGAAAGACCTCTGGGGAGAGGGTATGGAGGAGTGCTGGCCTTAAGGGTGGTCATTGTAGAAAGAACCTTGAAGGAGGGGAAGACATGCAGTGGCAAAGAGGAGTTCTGGACTCAATACCTGGGGAGGTGGGGATGAAGGAACATGGAAAGATGGTGGGATTCACATTAGTAGTCTCTTTAGAAAGGATATTGTGAAGGTGAGGACATGGATGTAGGTAGGATGGTAGCTGTGCTCTCTAAAGAGCTTTGGGGAAGTGAGGTCATGCAGGTTCATGGAAGGTTGGCCTTCACAAAAAATGCATTGGGGGGGCATACAGGATAGCAGACTACAAAAAGAACTTCAGGGAGGTGCAGACGTTCAGGTAGGTGGAAGGATGGCCTTTACAGAAGGGGCTTCATGGAAGGATAGTCTCTACAGAAGGGGCATTTGGCAGGTGAGGACATGCAGATACACAGAAGGATGATCTCTAAGAAAAGGCTTGAGGGGCGGTGGAAGATGCAGGTTCATGGAAGGATGGGCAGGTGAGAACATGTAGGTACATAGAAAGATGATCTCTAAAAAAAAAAGCGAAGGATGGTCTGTAGAAATAGAGGTTGTGGTGACGGGGAGATGAAGGTTCCTGGAAGGATGATCTTTACAGAAGGAGCTGTGAGGGGGACGTACAGTGGGGGAAATAATTATTTGATCTCGTGCAGATTTTTGCCCACTTACAAAGAAATTAAGAGTCTATAATTTTTATCATGTGTATATTAAATAATAGACACAGAATATCAACCACAAATCCAGAAAAAAAACAAATGATAAAAATATTATAAATTGAGTTGCAGTTCAGTGAGTAAGATAAGTATTTGATCCCCAAGCAAAACATGACTTAGTACTTGGTGGAGAAACCCTTGTTGGCAAGCACAGAGGTCAGACATTTCTTGTAGTTGGATACCAAGTTTGCACACATCTTGGGAGCGATTTTGGTCCGTTCTTCTTTAGATCTTTAAATCCTTAAGGTTTCTTGGCTGTCGCTTGGCATCTCAAAGTTTCAGCTCCCTCCATAAACCTTCTATAGAATTAAGGTCTGGAGACTGGCTAGGCCAGTCCATGACTTTAATGTGCTTCTTTTTGAGTCACTCTTTTGTTGCCTTGGCGGTATGTTTTGGGTCATTGTCATGCTGGAAAACCCATCCAGAACCCATCTTTAGTGTTCTGGCTGAGGGAAGAAGGTTCTCATCCAAGATTTTACAATACATGGTCCTGTCCATTCGCCCCCCAATGCAGCAAAGTCAGCCTGTACCTTTAGAAGAGAAACAGCCACAAAGCTTAATGTTTCCACCTCTGTATTTGACTAGGAATGGTGTTCTTAGGGCCATAGTCAGCATTTTCCTCCCTTCAAACACGGTGAGTTGAGTTAATGCCAGAGGGCTCAGTTTTGGTCTCATCTGACCACAGCACTTTCTCCCAATCCTCCTCTGAGGCATTTAAATGTTCATTGGCAAACTTCAGATGGGTCTGTACATGTACCTTCTTGAAGAGTGGGACCTTGCGGGCGCTGCAGGACTTCATTCCATGGCGGAGTATTGTGTTACCAATGCTTTGTTTGGTGACTCTGGTCCCAACTGCCTTGAGATCATTCACAAGATCCCGTGTAGTTCTGGGATGATCCCTTACTTTTCTCATGATCATCCTTACCCCATGAGGCGAAATCTTGCATGGATCTCCAGACTGAGGGCAATTGATGGTTATTTTGTATTTCTTCCATTTGCAAATAATCTTTCCAACAGTTGTCTCCTTCTCACCAAGCTTCTTATTGACGGTCTTGTAGCCCATTCCCGCCTGGTGCAGGTTTACAATCTTGTCCCTGACGTCCTTTGACAGCTCTTTGGTCATTTGTCCATGATGGTGAGGTTTGAATGGAAGAAAAAGATTCTGTGGACAGGTGTCTTTTATATACATAATGAGTTGTCGTTAGGAGCACCTTCCTAAATTGACAGGACTAATCTGTGTACCACATGAGCACATAGCCAGTCTGTGGGAGCCAGAATTATTGTTGGTTGGCAGGGGATCAAATACT